GTGCAGAAGATGTAGGTGATGTGGGTGATGTAGAGGATGTAGTCATGTAGATGATGATGTAGGTAATGTATGTATTGTAGATACAGCATATCATATAGATGAGGTTGATGGAAAATGTGTAGGTGGTGTAGATAATGTAGGTGAGACAGATGTAGGTGGTGATGATGATGATGATGGTGATGATGATGATGATGATGATCGTGATGGTGATGATGATTGTAGATGTAGATGTAGATCTAGAGAAGATGGTGTAGAAGACGGTATAGAAGATGTAGGTGATGTAAAGGACATAAGAGATGTGGATGATGTATGTTAGGTAGATGAAGTGAAGAGTGAGGCAGACAGCAGTTCTTTGGGAAAAAGCCTTCGCACGAGCTTCGGGAATTTTGGCCACAGTATTGCGAACGCTTTTGGAAAAGCGTTTTTTCATAAAGTGTTTGTGCTGTGATTGCGCCTTGTACGCCCGACCTCTAGAGTAAGAAGGGCGGGGCAATAAACATACTTCACTCATTGGGTGTTTGGCAACTGTTTTTGTTTCTGGCTGTTGGGGATACTCTTTGGGCTTATTTTTTCCGCGTGTGATTTTTCATGTTTGGAGCAACCAGAGATTGCTGGTGCATCCCTGCTTTCAGGTGCAGTCTAGATGCCACAGTCTTGTTTGATGTCAACTATAGAGGCCGAGAGCAAGACGTGCTGTGTGCAAATGTCTCCTGTCATTCTGGCTGCCGGCCCCTCACAATGAACTCCTAGGCCAAATTTGAGGAACATGAGTAGTTATGACCTGGATCCGGCATACGCCTCCCTTTGCACAATATCTTGGAATATAGCTGATCTTGCCGTTCTGAAGACTAGGATGGTTCTGAAACGGAGCGAATTGCGGTAATTGCGGCGCAAGGTTCTCTAGCTTTGCACATGTCGCCTGTGCAGGGGCAATTGACCTGGTGGACTGCGACGAGGTCTACCTTGAAACCTTTGAAAGCTTTGCATCTGATGCTGAGTTGGCAGTTGGCATTTGCAACAACCAGTACTAACCAGTACTAACCAGTACTAACCAGTACCGGTTGCAAACATGTTTCGAATTTCAATTTCCACCCGGGACGATGGCCCCCAATGACTTCTACTCGAGGTGGTTGAAGCCACCAAGCAGACCATATGGCAGGCAAAATCCAGGTGCTCGTCTTCCTCGTGTTCCAACAGCACCGAGTGTCAGGCAGAGCTACGGAGTGGTATTGCAAATGCATTGCTATCTGCAGCTATCTCCTTATTTTGGGGTGTAGAGCATCATGTTTTCCACACAAAAGTGATGTGATTCCAGGAAAGCTACTGTATGGAATCCTGTTCCATGATCCATGTGACTCTTTGTTGGGTTGACATAGTTGCAGTTTTGATGCTGGTTGGATCTGCAGCCCAGTTGCTCCGACCGGCAGGTTCAGTGCGTTTCATCAGTTGCTGCTTGAAACTCAACTGATCACTGCAGCTCCTGCTTGATAGGGTTCGGATACTGTATTATTGCATGAAGCAACAAAATGAGAGTAGAAACGGGAAATCCAACTAAGTTGTGGTATTTGACTTCTATTTTGTGTATTCTCATAATCCCTGCGACATAAGTCAGCCCCCATTTTTTACCTGAGGTTGAATCTGCGATGGTCGCAAAACCAGCAGATACCGCGTTCTGTGTCCCCGTCTCAATGAGAACTGCGGGTTTGATATGTAGATGTGATGTCAGGAGTGTTGTTATTTGCAACAGCGGCATTCTTCAAAGCAACCGCCATCCTTTGGCAGTGCATTTCATGATTGATATTCAATATCATTCACATAACATAACGCATCATAACATTTGAATTCGCTCTTCAGCGTGTCATGTTTTCCAATTCGGGAAGGAAGGGGTTTGAGATTCGTCGAATATCTTGGGATTCAATGCCAATCCCTTTCTCTGATTAACACCCCCCAGACACCCAGAAGTCAGATAATTGAATCTGTTCCGTTTTCTCTCATATGGGGAGGGTTTATGATATGTTTATGATCTGGATATATCTGGATATGAGAGAAATCCATGCGGACTGTCACCTCGGTCCCTTCAGGCCGGCTTGGACCAGCAAATCCCAACCAGAGGACTTTTTCTTGGGCGGAATCATGGAGAATCTTGGTCAATTTCCGCTTCAAAATCACCTTTTTGGGGTATGACTCACCATGATTTCACCATGTAGAAAGGTTCATCCAGAATTATTCAAAGTTATGGTTTATTGTGCTTTTTTGGATGCTGTAGAATTTGCTGAACATGGATGAACATGGCAAATTTTCTCTGAGCCTCATATGTGTTTGAAAAGACCAAATGGACCATTTTTTTTTGACTTGCAGAGGCTCAGGGAAGTTCCGATAGATTTTTCTGATCATTTGGGTTTGTCCAAAAACAGGGCAATTTTTTCGGGGTACGTCAAAATCATCCAAAATCCTCCGGTTGAAATCATGAGGAAAACCCACATGTTTCCCTCGTCCTACTCGTAGACTTTCCCCATCTTTCCCATATTTTTCCGCATGATTTCATGGCTCCAGGATGTTCCTGGCGCACAGAGTCCAGTTGGGCCCCATCAGCGACTGCAGAGGTGGGGCCCATGGTTTATGATATCACCAATATATCATCATCGTTATTATATACAGATTTAGGGGATTTTTTGTTTGATGATATATTATTTTTATATCATCATTGTAAATCTGCATATGATGATTCTATGAATGGGATGGTTTATACCGTTTATATATATA